ATCTGACGCTAAGATGCTATAAAAGCAATCTCACATTAGCAGTGGTAAGAGGGGGTGGGGATGGGTTTGGACTGATTGGATAATTCGCAGGATGTAACTGATTGTGATATTTGCATTGAAAAGTTTGTAGTTTCAGAATCACTGCAACTTGACTTTAATCGAAATATTCAGCAGTGTAACTGAACTTCACAATTTTATAGTAAATTCTTGAGAATTGGGGGTGGAAGAAGAGCGCAAAAAAATTGTATGTAAGCAGTTCTTGAGCCTTCATAGCCGAATAATTTGGGATCCAAATCATGGAAAAAAATCATAGAAGAACAGCAGCACTTGAAAAAGAATGATAAATAGAGATTTTAGCCTTTTTTCTAGAATTTAGAAAAATCTTTACCACTAAAATGAAGCACTTTAGAATATCATTTCAAAATTTTACATTAAACGAAAGCTGCTTTCTAGAAAAAAAGCTTAAGCTAAACAGCAAATTTAGTAGTCGAAATAACGATAAAATCAGGTATTCCCATTTTTTTAGAATGGAATAAAACTTAGCTTCCAACTAAGGGTAAAAGGCAAATAAAAACAGCCAAAGTTGACCACCTAACCAACAACATATAAATTCTGAAAGGACGGACATCAAACCATGCATTTCGTGGCAGCTTCAGCACTTTAGAATATAACATTGTGAAAAGCTGTGTTTAGACTTCTTACACATACGGGGATATAAAGCGACAAATTTAAATTTTTTTCTTACTTTGCAATAAGAAAATGTAAAGAACAGGGGTATTGTTTTGGTAATTTTTTTTACTAAAAAATGTTTTTGAATCCAGGGAAATTTTCAAAGAATTTATTGCAAAAGAAAACCGAAACTGGCCAATGCTGATATGACATCGTTCTCATAATTCTAAAAGAATTAATTTCATTGAAAGCTTAGGTATGTAATTCAAAATCGCATAGCCAAATAGTGCAAGCTTTGCTGTTTCCGCAGATAGCATACTATGCAGGATAAGCGCCCTTGCAGGAAACCAGTTTCCAGAAGTTGTTATTTCCTGGCAGTTCCACAAATTTCTTGATATAGTATGGATTTTCATGCTTTAATAGCCATAGCCGTAAAAACTTTTTAGATAGGTAATCATATCATCTTAGCCATTTTTTTGTGTTTATTGCTCAAATGAAACCGTAAAAAAGAACTAATAAGTGAAAGGATGAAGATAATGGATTTGATAACGGTGAAGATACTAAGCAGTTTCCTCCTAATATCTTCCTGCATTAACCATATTTATGATTCCAAAACTAAATCCCGTAAAAGGATTCGTTTAGATTAAAAAAATTATTGTACTTAAAATATATTAATTACCGTTGAGCTATTGTCATGAAAATAGCATATGCTTTTGAACGAATTGTTTA